AGAGTGTTAAAGTTAATGAGATATTTAAGTGATTAATTGAATGATGATTGAGCATTATTGAAGACACCTAAAGCAGAATCACTGAAGGAGAAAACCGGAATTTCAGGTCACCATTATGGAGATGAGTGTTTGCTTTTGTTGGGCTCTTGACCCTTATATTATTAACTTTAGATTTGTTCAGCTGTTGTATCTGAGTTATACCTGCCAGATGAACAAAGAAAAAAAAAAAAAAGATCTAATGCTGTTGGTTATATTATGACATTCATCATTTGAACTAATTGTTTGTGATTTATGCTGTTGGTTACAGCATTACTGAGATTCTGCATAAATATCCAGAATTTGAGATATAATATAAAGGATTTCTTAAAAGTTGTAAAAAAAAAAAAAAATCTTTCTTTTAGGCACACACAGATATCAAGATTCAGTCAATGCATCTCAACAATGGTGACGAGCAGAATATTAAATTAGGAAAAGTAAATTACATAGACAATTCAGATCATAATTTATTCATACCGCAATGCATGATGGGAGCAATTAATGAGTTGTGATTGGTGGCAACAAGGATTATTATTGTCACCACGGTTGAGATTCACAGGCTGATTATTGATGTCTGTGTTTCTACATAAATGCATTTGAAAGTGATTTGATCAGAACAATTTTTATTCAATGTTTTGGATGATAAGAAAAATACAATTATCATATGCTGTAGAACCACTAAACTGGTGCTATCAAGTTAAACCAGATCATCTGAATGAGTTTCATTTTTCAGATCACAGCATGATTATGTCAAAACATAAACAACACTATCAGATCACACTTGTCTTTGTTCATTTGACTGTAATAAATCAATAACAGCAGACAAACAAAATTTAAACTTGAAGTATAAGGATCAAGAGCCCAACTAAAGCAAACACTGATCGCTATAACGGTGGCTTACAATTTTAGATTTTCTCCTTCAGTGATTCTGCTTGTTATCATCAGGTGTCTTCAATAATGCTCAATGATCACTAAATTAATCACTTAATTATCTCATTAACTTTAACACTCTTGAGTGTTAATTTAACACTCATAGAGTCATATCTGCATCATATCGTCCATCTGAAAGCAGGTGAAGGTGATTTACTACTAATCAAGGAACCGGCTTTACTGATTAGATGCGCATAACAATATCGTGCGATTAATCGCCCAGCCCTAATGTGGCGGCTATTGCTGCGTTTGTCAAACATTCGCATGGCCAGTCACTGGGTAGGAACGACCTTGTAGTCCGCTTCCTCAGGGGAGCTAGAAGGATGAACCCTCCTCGCCCCCCCTCAGACCTTTCCTTGGTCCTGGAGGCCATGAAGGGTGCCCCTTTCGAACCTCTACAGTCTGTGGACCTTAAGTATCTCTCATTGAAAACCGCCTTTCTGGTGGCTATCGCCTCAGTCAAGCTGGTGGGTGACTTACACGCACTTTCTGTTAGTGCGTCGTGCCTTGAGTTTGGGCCTAATGACTCCAAGGTCATCCTCAAACCAAGACATGATTATGTCCCCAAAGTACTTGCCACTCCTTTCAGAGCACAAGTCTCTGTGGATCTGACAGCGAGTCTGACATTCTCTCGTCACAGGCGATTTTTGAGATTCACCTTCGAGGGCCAGGCATATCAATACACAGTCCTACCGTTCGGCCTGTCCCTGGCATCCTGTATATTATGATGTACATGGACGCGGCTCTCGCGCCCCTGAAACTTCAGGGAATGCCAGCTTTGAACTATTTGGACGATTGGCTGATTCTAGCTCGATCTCATTCAGAGCTCATAGAACACAGGACCATATTACTCGAACACCTCGAGAATCTTGGTCTCACAGTCAATTGGGCGAAGAGCCAGGAAATATCCTTTCTGGGCACAGAGCTGAACTCGCTGTCAATGACAGCGCGACTATCGCCAGAGCGCATACTGAACATTGCGGCACTATAGTCCTGCTCAAGAGATTTCAGAAGATGTTGGGCCTCATGGCCTCATCATCATCAGTACTCCAGCTGGGTCTGCTTCGCATGCGCCCACTGCAGTGGTGGCTGAAAGCACGAGTGCCGTCTCAAGCTTGGGCCTCCGATCTGTTTCGCCTCAGGGTCAATCAGAAATGCGTCACAGCTCTGAAACCTTGGAAGGCGACCGACTGGTACTGGTACCACCGCCTCTTCATTCTGACATTCTCTCTTCGGATCTGACAGCGAGTCTGACGTGAATCTCCTTTGCCTGGTTAGGGCCCTTGGAACGTTCGGCTGCTTTCAGACGGTCAGGACAGCTATTTGTTTCGTTTGGTGGCCGATCTAAAGGTCTAGCTGCCTCGAAACATAGCCTTTCCAGGTGGAAAGTGGACGCTATCTCACTGGCTTATACATCTAAGAGTCTTCGTTGCCCTCTGGGCGTCAGAGCTCATTCCACTAGAGGCATGCCTCTTCATGGGCCTGGTCCAGTGGGATTTCCCTTCACGATATCTGTATGGCGGCAGGCTGGGCCTCTCTGTCTACATTTATAGGGTTCTATAACCTGGAAGTTCCCGCGCTCCAAGCTAGACTGTTGTCAGTTTAGTTTATCCGCTCAGTTCTGCCGGACTCGGTTCCGCGGACTGCAAAGTTTTCAGTTCAGGCAGGCTATTGCCTCCCCTGACTGTTATACCGTGTTAAGCACCCTCTATGCATTTAAGGTAACCACGTTTACCTTATATCATTCTTATTAAGCCCATTCCCAATGTCGGCTTTTTATATCCCCATATCATATGAACTTAGGGCGCTCGCCCTTGGGTCAGTGTTGTGGTAGATTTAGCACGCACGGCGTTTTAAATTGGATTCCCGTAGCGTAAGCTAGCTTACGCAACACGAGAGTACTCTCGTAAGAGAACGTCACGGTTACTAACGTAACCTCGGTTCTCTCTAGAAGAGGGAATGAGTGTTGCGTAACCCTGCCGTGCTTGTGCTACCATCTGGTTTCGCTTCAGTCGATGAAAACCAAGGAGCATCTTATCGAGCTCTGGCTTATATAGGCATAAGCCACGCCCATTCGCCCACTCATTGGTGCTTACGTCACGAGCAGTGCCTCGATAGGTTGCAGCAGTTGCCGCATAGCATCCAATAGGCGCGCGAGCTGCCTCGCCTAGGTCTGCTAGCTGCAGCAAGTGTGTTTTAAATTAATACAAATTATAAGGATAATTTTTGGCTTCAGTATTCTCGAGAAAAGAGGTTTTCCCTCTAAGGTTTTTTTTTTCCATAGTCAACTAGCTAGCTATTTATTAGTTATCTAACATTAAAAAAAAAAAAATTATTTAATGAGAAAGTCATACGAACCTCAAAGTGTTAACCTGTCACCTCTGACCTTCAACAGCTGTCACAGCTCCTGGTGCAGATGGGATGTGTTGTTGCAGGAACTGATATGCTATAGGCTACTCCTGACTGGTCGAAATCTCATGCTACTTAGGACAAATGTAATGTACAGAAGTAGCTGCACTGCTTAAATACAAAATTAAAGTTTTTGAACGAAAAGATAAGTAAAGTCACTCTGATGACAATTTTTATGTGAAATGTGCATATTTACCCCCAATTGTCATGGTATGGGGAAAATTATTATTTTTTTAAACTTGAAACCAATTTTATTGGATTCCTTGACCCCAAGAATGTACACTTTGACACCAAATTTGTCATTATAGCGATAACAGAAGCAAAGATATGGGCTCTAGAGTATTTTCGGCGCATTGGCGGCCATTTTTGAAAAAACATGTTTATTTCTGATACAAAGTGTGATCTCACTTGTGTCTTAGGATAAATTTATTTGTATGACCCTAAGGTACTTCCATACCAAAGGAGACCTTTGCATCATGACTTGAAGTCAAAGGCCTATTTTTTGGGCTTAACCTCCCTACTATTTACCAGGGTGAGAAGGATGCCCATCCTGTGCTTATTTGTAGGTCTGGTCTTCTACAGACACACAGGAGGGAACAGACAGGTTGTGTATACCGTATAAAACTGGTTTATTGTAAGCACAGTGATGAGACCACATCAGGAACCAGACGATGGTGAGAGGACAGTGACTTGAGGAATCTTGACTTAGCTGGCAATGACTGAAGTGGATTCTCTGTGCAGGTGAAGGATGAACACGATGACTGGAGATCTGGACGGAGAGGAAACAGGAGACTTGACCGTTTCAGGTGAGAGTTTAGGAAAGGAGTCTGACTGTTTACTTAGCCGTAACGTTGACGAGACCAGACACTGATGTGAGGGTGATGCAGGTTGATATAGGCTATGTTGATGAGGGAATGCAGGTGCAGGGAATCAGTACTCAGGTGAGTGGTGATGATCTGCAGCAGGTGTTGTAATGGCTAACTGAGTGCAGGTGGGGACCAGGAGGGATGCTGGGAAGTGTAGTGCAGACAGGTTACAGAGTTGGTGACTGTGACACCATCGAGTTCATTCATCACTGAGGATTTTCCTTTGTACGCCACTATAACGTTCACCATTGGATTAGTTAGTAAAGTTATTTGAGGAGGACTTTTGAGTTGTTAATACAAATTATGTTAAAATAATATTTCAGGAACATACTAACCCAAACCCAAAGTGAAAAATGGACACTTTACAGCTTCCATCGCCAAACCAAAATGGTTGAAAACCGTTCTTAGAGCAAAAATGTGTTGTCTGGGAAAACACTTTTGTGTTTTTGACTACAACACAAATAATCTGTAAATCACGTTATTCTCTCTGACTTCAGTACAAAACTCATCAGTACTGAACTCAATATCTCAAGTCCTTTTCTATTCTCATGATAAGCTTGAATATAACCTGTAAGTGACTAAATATCAAAGACGGAAACGCCCTTCAGACTGGAACACAACACACACAAGACGTGTGCTGAATAGCGACTAAAAGTGAATTTCTTCAGTCCTCTTATATCAACAGATGTGGCTGAAGATTATAATTGTTGAAATGTTAATTTAAATGATAATTAAACAGATGTGAATATGAAGACTCACCTGATACAGTCAGTGTAACAGCATCACTGAAGCCTGATCTCTGTGAGTCTGAACTCTCTCCTCTACAACTGTATTTACCATTGCGAGACACATCAGCTGTGAAACTGAACTCTGCTGCTGTTTCTGATGTAAATGGAAAGACAGTCTCTCGATCTTTAATCCAGCTGTATCTCCACTGAATGTTTCCTTCTCTCTGTATGTCACATGTGAGATTGACTATCTCTCCACTGAACACACGCTGATCTGGCTTCACCGTCACTACAGGTTTCACTGAGAAACATAGAAGTAAATATTGAAAAGCATTGCAGTATCAAGATCACTTCATGAACTCAAAACTTCCTCAGGAGAAAAACACTTAAATTAAAAATCTAGATTGCTTATAAATTGTAATGATTACATCAACCATGTATGTATTGGTAAAAACTAATTAAATGCCTGTTCTGACCAGTAGATGATGCTGTTTACAGTCAGAGTGTTTAAGATCAGTAAATAATTACAATTGCAGTAAACAATTCAGAAGCATGCAAATAAAACTCTCACTGTGCAGAACTAATTTATGTTTTATACAGTGGATTAGGATCTTTTGAAATCAATGTCTGACTGAACTTTTTCTAAGTACTAAAACACAATTCACATTAGTTAAATAATTATAATTTACTGCAGTAACGGACAGTACCTTGACTGAGTCCAGAGTGAACGAGGGACATCAGCACTAAAAGCAGAAGAAACACAGATATGAAGCTTTTCCATTCATTCAACACAATGTTAATCACACACTGAAACATGTCTAGAGTTTATTCTACATGAACTGAAAGTGTTTTTCTGTTCTGATGCTCATAAAGGTGAGAACTGATGGATTATTCTCCAGCATTTAACATCATCACACACAATGACGTCACTGATACGAGAGTCGATTCACTGATTCACTGACTATTGAATTGTGTATAACATGTTCCTAACCCTAACATGAAATATACAATTAAAATGTATAAATAATATAGAATCATGCACCTTTTCACACCACTTAAATGCATTATATCACAGTACATAAAAATAAACTTTATGAGTAAAGACACTTGCGTGCATACATAGTGGCTGCAAGTGACCTCATGCTTCTGGTCTAAGAGCATTTTCACACCTCGTTTGTTTCAGCTCTTCAAGAGCTCTCGCCTCGTCAGAAATAATTCATATCTCAACACTAAATGATCTCAGTTCCTCCTAAAGGACCCAAAAACAAACCATATTCAGACCACAGTATTTTAAATGTGTTGACCGCTTGCAGTCTCTCAAACAAACGAGTGTGAAAAAAGCCCTTAAACCACATTATTAAATGTTAAATTAAAATCTATTAATATATTAGCATTTTAAAGAAATATAGCTCAAGTACAATTTTAAATCAATACATTTCTCAAAATTAAATGTATCAGCTTTGCAAAATATGAATAAATTAACGTTTAAAAGGACAACAAAAGTCTGAGATTCTTTCTGATTGTCAAGCATTGGTGGAACATGTTCATATGTCGGCGTAATGAACTTATTCTGGGTTATTCTGACACACGTGTGAACTGACATCATTCAACAACTAAATATGAAGTTCAGGCGAACTGGTTAAAAATAACTGAAAGGTGTCTCAGAAAGAGACGTTCTAAGAAAAGTTCTACTTTGTATGACAATGACAATGTAATTTGAGTTTTCAAATAATGTTTGCAATTAAATCATTTGTTCGCAGATGGTTTGATAAAATGTGTGTCCATAATGACAATAAAATTTAAGTGGCCAACTAGCTTCTCTTTGCGATTATTTCTCAGTAAGACAGTCAGAGAGATAGAGAAGCAGATTGTGTGTTTGGTCACTGTTTTGATGTCTCAAATGGAGAGATTATAAATACAGCATCATTCAACAATTACTCATATCAACACAAATACATCTGATATATATATATATATATATATATATATATATATATATATATATATATATAGTATAAGCATATACTAAGCAAAAATACATGTGCACATTGCCTCCATCTTTCACATTATCACAGATAAATGCATCATCAAACTCTTCATCTGATCAACACATAACAACATCACATTAAATCTGATCAATAAATAATACAATAAGCAGTGATGCTGTGGATTCATAGACTCTCCTACACAACAATCATTATTTTATCTGATCTTTAACTAAATACAATGTATTATAAAAGAGAAAAACTAAACAGAATATGATCAGATACTCACAGATGAGAGGCAGTGCACTGGAGGCCATACTGACACATTAATAGACTGATTTAACAGCGCTGTGTGCTAAAACACACTCTTCCTGTGTTTGAGAGAAGAGATGAGGGAGGAGACCAAACTGCACACAGAAATACACAAAGAAAAGAGAGATCCAGTCTAAGATTATGATTTAGGACTAGGTGAAACAATCTCCTGTTTAAGACCTGAGGTATGAGTGGTGACGATGCATCCATCGGAGTGGTTTCCTCACTGTGGTAATGGTTTAGTGGGATAAGAATGGGGGTTTAATGGTTTAGTGGGATAAGAATGGGGGTTTAAGCTTCATTGGGGTCATCAGGTGGGCACCCCCCTTCTCTGGTGTTTCAATAATAGGCCCACGACACCTCCAGAGGGCTCATCGGCAGCACCTGGCGTCCCAGGTGTGCCCCCCTCTGCTTTCAACCCTTACATGCCACAGGTGGTATAAGGGTCCCAGTTGGAGTCTCCCCTTTTCACCCATATCCATCGGCTTGCTTCTTCTGCTGCACCTGAGAGTGCTTTGATGGTTTGGCGTAGGGTTTGGCCTCGCACTTCCAGTTCCTTAAGCAGCCTGATGGTTGACTTGCCCACAAAGCCTCTGCAGCCGACTTCCACTGGGCAAACCTTGGATTTCCATCCGCGTTGCTCAGCATCAGCTGCCAATTCGGTGTACTTAAGTCTCTTGCGCTCAAATGCCTCCTCTACAGCATCCTCCCAGGGAACGGTAAGCTCTATTATGTACACGATGTGGAGTGATGGGGACCAGAGCACGAGGTCTGGTCTTAGGTTAGTTGTGACAATCTCAGAAGGGAAGTAAAGCCTTTGGTTCAAATCTGCCACCAATTTCCAGTCTCGAGCCTTTCCGAGCTGGCCGATAACCGTTGTTGTACAGCCTTTGGCTGTCTTTACCCCTTCTCGAATGAACTCCCTTGCATATGAAGGATGGAATGATGGAGGAGGCAGAGCATTGTTCTTATGCACTCCAAGGTGGCTGCTAGGCACTTCAGGACATGGTTGTGCCGCCAGGTATAGCGGCCTTGTGACAAGCTTGTCTTGCATCCAACCAGAATGTGTTTGAGGTTTGCGGGGGATGGACAGAGGGGGCACGTTGGGTCCTCTCCGTACCACTGGTTGAGGTTTGAGGGGGAAGGCAGGACGTCGTACGTTGCACGATATTTAACTATCAATTTATTCAAGTTGAATATGGACATCATATTTTCCAGATCAGTTCTGATGGAGATTGTTCTCACTCTTATTTTGTCCATTCACGCAGTGACACACAGAAGACAGACCGTGATTACAAAGTGAAATTACCATGTGACAATGTGGCTCTAATGTAAGGCCCGCTCTACTTTATATCAGTGAAATATACAGTTTTTTTTTTGTATACCATACATTTAAGTTTAGATGCATAAAACCTAAAATGTTGCCATGTTTTTTTTACATGGTGTTGACCAGCGATCTAAGTCAAGTAAAACAAAGTGGATGCATTTGAAATGCAGCTTGTTTTACATGAGGATTGATAAACAAGTAATACAATGGATATGTCATTAAATTCTAGCAAAATCTGCATATTTTCCAACCATTTTAAGTTGATTAAAACATGCTTTCTGTAATATTATCAGATTTTAATCTTCAACTTTGCTATGTCCCAGGACACTGTTACGTCCAAAGAGGTTTTTTTTTTCTTTTTTTTTTCTATTCCCCTTTCTCTCTCTCTCTCTCTCTCCCTCTCTTTACCATAAGCAGGAAGTAATGGCTGCCACCTGACTCCAATGATTAATAACCTGACTGATGTGATTGGAGGAGGAGAGGAAGCTGTGGGGATTTAAGCAGCATGCTTCCATAGACCTGGGTGTGATTAGTGTGATAAGCCCAGTCCTTTTCAACATTATGATAAATGATATATTTTGAAGAAATTGGAAATAGTTTGGGAAAATCTCTTTTTGCAGATGATGGGGCCATCTGGAAAAGGGGCAGGAATGTCAAACAAATAATTGAGCAAGTGTAGGGAGCTCTGAACAAAGTAACTAGCTGGGGTGAAAAGTGGGGGTTTAGGATATCAGTGGAGAAGTCAAAGTATATAATATTTGGTAATAAGAAAACTGAATGTGGTGGTTTATTTTTGTATGAACAAGCAATTGAGAGGGTTAAAGAGTTCAAATTTTTGGGTGTACATTTGGATGAGAAGCTAACATGGAAAAAGCAGATAGATAATGTAGTAAATAAGTGTGAAAAAGTAATAAATGTAATGCGTTCCCTCTCGGGTAGCACATGGGGTGCAGGCAGAGATACTCAACTAATGATCTACAGGGCAATGATAAGATCTAGACTGGATTATGGTTGTGTGTGTTATGGGACAGCCGCTGATACACATTTAAAAAGGCTGGAAGTAATGCAAGCGAAGGCGCTGAGACTATGTTGTGGGGCCCTTCGTACAACTCCAGTCCCAGCTTTGCTGGTAGAGATGGGGGAAATGCCATTATTAATTCGACGGGAGAAATTGGCAATGCAGTATATTGTTAAATTATGGCCACACAAAGGAGAACACCCTACAAAAACAGTTCTAATTAATGCGTGGGAGTGGGGATCAGGAAAAAAGAGGAAGGAATGTTTTATGTTTAACATCAGTAAAAAAAATTGAGGAGTTGGGACTGAAGGAGGTAGGGGTGGCCCCACAAGTGTACTTGTCAGTTGTACCACCGTGGTTGATGTCCACACCAGAAATAGATTTCAGTATAATGGAAAACATCAAACATCATGAAGGCACAGAATATCCCAATATGGTCAAGCAAAGAAAATCAGTGGGGAACTTATCTTCAGATTTACACAGATGGATCCCAAGATCCACAAACTGGGAAGTCGGGATTTGCTTTTTATATCCCACAATATGAATATGTAAAGCTTAAGCGCCTGTCTGAGGGGGTATCGGTGTATACAACAGAAATTCTAGCTATTATATGGGCACTAAAGTGGGTAGAGGAAGTTCAACCAAGGAGAGCAGTATTATGCTCAGATTCGGCTTCAGTGTTAAAAACTCTGAGAGGAAGTAATTTGGGAGCTCGGCCAGATCTGTTTATGGAGCTGATGGTTCTGTTGTATAGAATCGAACAGGCTGGAGGGTCAGTGGGATTTCTCTGGGTGCCTGCACATGTTGGGGTAGAAGGGAATGAGGTGGCAGACAAGGCAGCAAAAATTACTTTAAAAAGAGACATTGATTTAGCAGGTTGTATTGGGGTTGCTGAATGTAGATCTGTCATTAAAGTAAATACTATAGTAGTATGGCAGAGGCAGTGGGAAAAGGAAACAAAGGGCCGTCATTACTATGCAATACAAAACAAAGTAAAGACAGAGCAATGTTATTTGGGTAAATCCAGAAGACAATCTGTAATTATGACAAGACTAAGGCTGGGACACTGTGGACTTGCATGGGATCTAGCGAAGATGGGCAAACATGAGGATGGACTCTGTAGAACCTGCAATCAACAACAGACT